CTCTCTCTCTCTCTCTCTCTCTCTCTCTCTCTCTCTCTCTTTCTCTCTCTCTCCACTGTAATTGGAATAGTTTGAAAAAATACATACAAATGCCAGAAATTCCAAATTCTTGAACTTGGGCAGAGTATCAGTGTAAAAACTCATGCCGATTACCATAATAAATTTATAACATTGCGAGTATATGATTTGTCTAAATAAAAACAACAACCATGCATATTATATTTATTAAACATAAATACTACCCGTCTCACTATCAAGTTACTCTAGGCAGCATACATCTCCTTACAACTTATAACTTACATCTTTTAAACTACATGTTGCGTTAAATTCCTCTGTGGGCATATGTTTGTACGTGTGAATGAAGAGTAAAATGAAAAGACTACTATAGGCCTATGTCAGAGGTGGTATTCAGCACGTTCTGACCAGTTCTGGAGAACCAGTAGCAGAAATTTTGAGTAGTTCGGAGAACCAGCAAATAGAATTAGAATTAGAATTCTTTATTGGCCAAGTGTGATTGGACACACAAGGAATTTGTCTTTGTGCAAATGCTCTCTGTATGCGTAAAAGAAAAGATGCATTCGTCAAGAGTCAAGAATCATCAGGTACAATACTTAATAATAGCCATAGGGTACAATAAGCAATCAAATCATACTAGGAAACAGTCAATATAAATCGTAAAGTTACAAGTGACAAAGTTACAGTCATACAGTCACAAGTGGGAGGGGATGGGTGATAAGGGGTGATGAGAAGATTAATAGTAATAGTAGTGCAGACTTTGTAAATAGTTGAACAATGTTGAGGGAATTATTTATTTAGCAGAGTGATGGATTTCGGGGGTGGGGGACTGTTCTTGTGTCTAGTTATTCTGGTGTACAGTGCTCTCTAGTGTCATTTTGAGGAAAGGAGTTGAAACAGTTTATGTCCGGGATGGGAGGGTTATGTAAATATTTTCACAGCCCTCTTTTTGACTTATGCAGTATACAGGTCCTCGATGGAAGGCAGGTTGGTAGTAATTGTTTTTTCTGCAGTCCTAATTACTCTCTGGAGGCTGTGTCTGTCTTTTGGGTTGTAGAACCAAACCAGACAGTTATAGAGGCACAGATGACAGACTCAATAATTCCTCTGTAGAACTGGATCAGCAGCTCCTTGGGCAGTTTGAGCTTTCTGAGTTGGCGCAGAAAGAACATTCTCTCTTCTGGCACAGAAATGCCACCTCTGACTGGCCCCTCCCCCATCTATTCTCTGCCTCTTGAGTCCCAGCTGATCGGCTGGGTCTTCTTTTGTTGCCCTGCACAGGAGAACGGAGCTGGAAAGCAGGTTAGTGGGGTGGGGAGGGAATGGAGATTTTACAGTATCCTTCCCCTGCCACGGCCATCAAGAAACGCCCACCAAGCCAAGCCCACAGAACCCGTAGTAAAAAATGTTAAATCCCACCACTGGCCTATGCTGAGAAGGCTTGACAAATTTGTTACTTTAACCCAAGTCAGACAGAAAGGAGAGGGTTGTTAAAAAAAAAAAAAGATACCAAAAGAAGATGAAGCTCCTCGATGCTTTTTTTTCTTTCTATAAATCTATGTGCATTTTTGGAGAATGCAGTTAACAATATGGATCTATGGAACACTAGTCGTTTTTTACTTTTGCTATAAAAACATCATCAATTGTTAGTAATCCCAGAAAGTATGCGGTTACTATTCTATTCTTCCTCATGGTAAACATATAAAAATATTACAACACTTTTTTAATATATTCAAATCGGAAGGGAAATCCAATAACCAAGCTTAAGGGCGTGGCTTGGTGGGTGTGGCAGGGGAAGGATACTGTAAAATCTCCATTCCCACCCTGCTCCTAGGGGAAGGTTACTGCAAAATCCTATTCCCTCCCCACCCCACTAACCTGCTTTCCAGCTCCGTTCTCCTGTGCAGGGCAACAAAAGAAGACCCAGCCAATCAGCTGGGACTCAGGAGGCAGACAATAGATGGGGGCGGGGCCAGTCAGAGGTGGTATTTACCGCTTCTCCAAACTACTCAAAACTTCCGCTACTAGTTCTCCAGAATTGGTCAGAACCTGCTGAATACCACCTCTGTTTCATGCTTCATTTGGAGTGTTGCATATTATATTAGGAACTGGTCATAGATACAGAAAAAAGAGGGTGTTATTTTCTTCTGATTTGTCCTTTAAATGAGATATTGTTCCATTAACTAGAGAATTATTTTCCAAATGTATGTACTTAATTCTTATGAAATCAGTAGCTCTCAAATATTCAAGGGTCATCTATTTCATTGGGACCAAAGTTTCATTTACCTTCTCTTAATAAAACCTGGGACTCTTATTTCCTGGTTATTCCAACAGGGCAGCATAAAGAAGAGCATAGAAGTAAGTCGTGCCGACTTTTAGTATGAAATTATTTGCTTCTTTTATGCAAAGTTAACAAAGTTAATACATTGCACACCAGTATAAATAACAGTAAATCATTTCTTTAAAATATAAACAGGTATTGCATGAAAATATTCTCTTCCATCTATCTTGGATAGTGCATAAGCGCACAATCGTGCCTACCGTCCCTATTGTCTCCAATTATTAGTTCCTATTTCTTGTATTTAAACTTATGTTTGTTCTTGTTTCTGTTATATTGTAAGCTCTTGACTAGATAGATAGATAGATAGATAGATAGATAGATAGATAGATAGATAG